GGTTCTCATAGGGAGGTGAGAAATTTTTGACCTCACAGTGCTCTTTAAACTCTGGTTTATGCTGAAATCTTGGAAGACACATTATCTTTCACCAGAGGGCATCATGAGCTTATGGATTTGGTAATTTCTGTAGAATATTTGCGGAGAAGCAGATAAAAGAATCAGGTTGGCACTCTCCTCCCACCCCCCACCCCCCAATCCCGTTACATCTTTTTGGATCATTTGAATTGTATATGGCTTTCTATTTAAGTCAGTCATTTGCTGGCAGCAAAACTAGAACATTTCCTGTTTTTCCTCTCACTGTAATCAGGATTTGGCTGTCCAAATTAGGGCTGCCCTAATTACTGCTCAGCAGGTGCCAATCCTGGCGAGGGCAATAAATAGGGAGAGAGGAAGTGAGAAAGGACACTCGGCATTTTCATACTCATCGAAAAGGAAAACACTTTCTCCCTTGCTGGTAAGATTTGATTAGGTAACAAGCTATACACACCAGGGTATGTGTGTATTGTTGTATAACAATTATAAAATAATTTCCTATTTCTTCATCTACAAGGCTTTTCAAGAGTCACTTCATCCATCTCTAAAATGTTTCTCTGTATGTATGTATGCATGTATGTGTACACATACATACATATACCTATATGTCTAAGTGTACACACACACACACACACACACACCCCACTGACAAGTCATTCAAGGACTTTAGTGTACAAAAGCTGAATGAAGAATACCACTTCTACTGGAGGGATGGGAAAAAATAGGCAGGTAGCATCAAGGGGCTACCACTTCCATTGGTATTTAGATAGAATGATAGGAAAGGTAGCCATTGCCTGGGGAAGAAATCCTTGGAGATCTCTTACAAGCCAGTCAGTCAAAAAACATTTATTAAGTGCCTACTATGTGCCAAGCTCTGTATTAAGTGCTAGAGATACGAAAAAAGAGGCAAAAGACAGTCCCTTCTCTCAAAGAACTAATAAACCAAAAGTGGAGACAACAAGTAAACAAATATATATGAACAAGATATATACAAGACAAATAAGAAATAATTAAACGAGAGAAGGCACTAGAATTAAGAGGGGTTGGGGAAGGCTTTCCATAGAAAGTGAGATTTCAGTTGGAACTTGAAGGAAGCCAGGAAGTAGAGATGAGGAAGGAGAGCACTGAAGTCATGGAGCACAGCCAGGGTAAAAGCCTGGGGTTGGGAGATGGAGTATCGTATTTTGTAGAGGCCAGTTCACTGGATTGAAGAGTGTATGGCAGGGAGCGCAGTGTAGAAAGATTGGAAAGGTAAAAGGGGCAGGTTATGAAGGGCTTTGACTGCCAAACAGCATTCTGTATTTGATTCTGGAAGTGATGGGGAGCCACTGTGTTTACTGAGTAGGGGAGATGACATGGCCGGGTGTGTGCTTTAGGAAAATCACTTTGGTGGCTGAATGGAGGATGGAGTGGAGTGAGGAGAGACTTGAGGCAGGCTGACCCACCAGCAGACTACTGCAATAGTCCTGACACAAGGTGATGAGGGCCTGAACCAGTGCACTGGGTGGAAACCACAAAGAAGCAAATTTAGGCTTGATGTCAGGAAAAACTTGCTAACAATCAGAGCAGTTCCAAAGTAGAACAGGCTGGATGAGCATTTGTTGGGTACATTATCGTGGGGAGTCCTTTCAGGATAGGCGGGAGTAAATCATCGCTGAAGTCCCTTCCAACTCTCGGATTTTGTGATTCTGTTATAGGGAATCAGTCAAGTTCCTTGAACAGAGGTGTGACGTGGTTAGACATGAGCTGGAGGGACAATTCTCTGGCAGCGAGGCGTGGGATGGATTAGAGTGAGGAGAAATCAGAGGCAGGCTGACCAATTATGAAACTACTGCAAGAACTCATTTGGCAGGTGAAGAATATGCTGGCTGGTACCTGTATGAGTAGAGAGAACTCAAGGGGGTAGAATACACTTTGCTTCCTCCCATAAAAATTTTAGAATAAAAGACATCTTTTGTTTACATAGGTGATGGGAGAGGTAGAAAGTAGCTGTTCAAGGTTTGTTAGTAATCTTAATTAAAGCATTAGGATAGAGAAGGAATTTAAGAAAATCAAACCTGATTACTGAGAACAGATTCTCTAAAAATTGGTCTTTATAAGGGAAATGGTCCTTTTTTCCACTTATTTTTTTTTGAGGCACTCCTCTGAGACCTGTCAGTGAAGACTTATAACAAGTCATTTTCTTTTTCTCTGCTGGTTTAAATAATGTTGACAAATGAATGTCTGCTATAGGTTAGAGCACTGCTGTAAAAGAGGCCAAGGTCACAAGCTTAATTTTTGAGGCCTGCTTTCTTTCTTTTTCTGATTCTGTTTCACATCTACAGAATACACCTCTAGCTCTACGCACTTTTATGTATTTGAATCTAGGAGGGAACTATTAAGACAATAAAGTCAGATCACTGTAAGTACATCTGTACTACAAGAAAATCCAATTCAATAAACATTTATTAAGCACCTCCCATGTGCCAGGTCTGCACTGGGGATACACTTAATAAAAAGGAAGACAGTCCCTGACCTCAAGAAGCTTACAATCTAACAGGGGGAGATAATACACAAAAGAAGGCAGGAAAGCAGCGAGAAGGCTGAGGGGGACAGCAGCAGGTACCAGGGGCAAAATCTTGTTCCATGGAGTTGAAACCAAGTAGGGCAGCAGATGTAAAGAGTAGTGAGCTGAGAGTTCAGTCTCTGCCCTCTATAAAGGAAGGCAAAGAGAATAGTTTGGTATTTCCCCCTCCAATCAGAGTAGAGATGAGGCTGAGGAAGATGGTGTCAATTTAGGCTTAAGTTAGCAGCATGGTCATGAGAAAATCAGCTCAAAGCACATTGTTTACTAAAGGGGAAATGTGGACAGAGGGAATGTCATTAACATCATCTTCTTTGACAATGGACGACATGGTTATTGGTAGATGATCCTCTTTCCACAAGGAATAGCTTAGACTTTTACAATAGCCCATCGAGATCTAAACCATAACCTTATATGAAGAAAAATCATTTGTTCATGGACTGCTGTGGACCAGAAGTGCAATTTAAGAAATGTAAATAAGGATGTGGGGAACTCATTCAATCAATGATTTTGCTCTTAATTATCACTCGATAATTATCCAACTGGTTTTGTTTAAGGGATTTATTATTCTTTTATTTTTTCACAACATTTATCAGAGTTGCCTCTTTCTATCCTCAACATCTCATAACCTGGATTATGGCAACTATTTCCTAAGTGACCTCTTTCCCCCAATCTCTCTCCATTTCAATCCATTTTACAACCCATGTTCACTATAGCACTCCCTGCTTTCCACAAAAATTCTTGAATCCTCACCCTGGAGGCCAAGATCATGACTGACTCCACCTTACCTATCCAATCCCTACTTGAACTATAAACTCTTATTTCTCTTCACTGTTTCCACTAACCTCCTTGTCCTCGTGCTCCTAATTCTGAGTCTTTAATCATTCTTATTCTTGCAATTTCTCCTAATTACCCAAAACTTTCCTCTTCTCTCTTCACCTAACTGTAGCTTAGCTTATTGCATCTCCTGTATGAACCTTTCCTTAAGTATTGAAACCAACACTGATCTCATTCCTTTTTCATTAAGTCACTATACTGCTCAAGTGGCCCCTCATGACTGTATAAGGCATTATTCTTAACTAAGTCAGGGACCATGCCTTGTCTTCCACCTTCTTTGTATTCCCTACAATGCCTACCACACTGCCAGGCACATAACGCACCCTCGATGATGGGCATGGTGGCCCTTAATACCACCTTCCAGAATTAGCAGAGTCTTAGGACATTGCTGTGATTCATGTGATATCAGAACTTAGAAACTCTCCAGACCACTGACCTACGGAAGACTTTTCTCCCACTTGTTCCTTTTATAGCTCCTTCAGGAGAAGCACTGTGATATCCCCTACAAACACATATTATCTCAGAGAAAAGAAGGCTGAAAAATTATTTAATAAGTTTTCCATATCCTCTATAGTGTCTACAAAAGGAAATGGACTTAAAATCACAGAACATCAGAGTGGGAAGGCACTTGACTCATCATTTAGTCTCAGGCTTCTTAACCTAGGGTCTATGAACGTAAAAAAAATTGATGACTTTATTTCAATATAACTGTTTTCCCTTGTGATCCCATGTGTTTTATTTTATGGATTTAAAAACATGATTATCAGAAGGGGTTTACAGACTTCATCAGAATGTCCAAGGGGTCCATAGCCCAAAAAAGGTTAAGAACCCCTGATATAGTCCAACCCATACACAAGAAGAAATTCTACCGATAGTAACCCTGGCAAGTAGTCATCCAGCCTTCACCGAAAGTATGCCAGTGATAGGAAAGTCACTACCCCGGACATAGCCAGCCCATTCTAGCTCTACTGATGAAAAAGTATTTCCTTTTATTGAATCCAAATCTGTCTCCTTCTATAGCTTCAGGGGCAGCAAGAGATGCTGATGAAAAAGAACTTCCTAACTGAGAGGAATGAAAAGAACTAAGGAAGGTTAGTAAGGGCGTTTGTGAATGCACCTTCTTTCCCTGGCGCTCATTAACAAGAGGCAGAAGGCTGAGGGACTAGATGAATGCTGTAGGTCCCTTCCAGACTGAAGATTCCATGAGGCCTACTACAGCTCATTTAAGCTATTCAGAAGGAATCACAAGAAACTTCAGTCATATCCCATCTCTTTCATCTTTTGGTGAGTGGACTGAGGGCTACAGGGTTAGGTTTTGTGAATATTTGGATATATATATATATACACACACACATATATATACATATATATATACATATATATGTATATATATATATACACACATATATACTCACACACATACTTTTCAGATTTCTGACAAACTTGGGGCTGCACATTTTGCTGCAGGGCTATGAGTAAGAAAGATTCTAATCTCTCCACGAGTGAACAATGAACTGTGTATCTCTGAAATGAATGTGTTCTTCTCCTAAAAGTAGTTTTCTACCTGTAGGCAACTGTGCAGGTGTCCTTGTACTCCTGGAGCTTAACACACACCATGTTGAGGAACTGATCAGAGTATGCACTGAGGTCATGCATCAGGTTCATGAGGTCTTGCACGGTCTTCTCCACAATTATTGTGCTCTGGAAAAGGAAATGCAGACAGAACAGAAGATTGTGAGATCTTCACTCAAAGGCAAAGAGAAAGAATACAGTAAATTAAGATGTTGTTATTACCTGAAGTGGGAAGGACAACCTAAGAACGGTTACCAGAGTCAGCAGTGATGTCTCACACAGGGCTGCTCTTTCAAGGACTTTGGAACACTTCCATGTTGCATATTTAATCCTTAAAGTTTCAAATTGTGCTGCTCAGCTTCAATAAGACATTTCTGGGGGTTTCTGAGGATGTGCCTAATTTGAATCAACTATATCAACTCACTGACCTGCTGCAAAGATCAGAGATCCAGGTCAGGACAGAAAGGACAACATGGAGGGATTCTACAACCTTTGAAAGCTTGAAAATCACTGATCTAAGGAAAAAATGAATTGCTTGGAGGCCAGCCAAAGTAGATTTATGTTCAGATGCATCAATTTCTGTTTGTGATTTCTGTTTGTGCAAGAAACTATGGGAAACATACTTTATTGTTTATATAGTAAAATTTCAAAGGTATAAAATGAGGAAAATATTTCCTGGCTATTCCTTATTTCCCAAGGATATTAAAACAATATGCTACATAAGAAGTGCTTTGAATTCCTAAGAAGAAAAGAACTACATAAATGCAAGGTTTTATTACTGTTGTAAAAGCAGTAATAGTATCCCTTTAAATTAATGGAGAATTTTTAAAGGACTTTTTAAAGCTTTTACACCTGTTACCTTCACAATAATCCTATGGGGAAGATAGTACAGGTATTCTCTCCATTTTATAGATGAGGAAAATAAGGCATAGAATTTAAGCGAAAGATTTATCCATGGTCTATCAGGTAAGATCAAAATTGATTAATCAATCAACAAACATTTATTAATTGCTTACTCTGAGCCAGGCACTGTCCTAGGCACTAAGGACACAAAGGTCTCCCATCCCTTGCCCCCCCACCAAATTCCTACTCTCAAGGAGCTTCTATTCTACCAGGGGATATTAAAACCAGAAATTTGTTCTGACTTTAAAACACACCCCTTTTCATTTGACCACATCATTGCTTTTGGGAATTTTGTCTGTTTTAAAAAAGAAGGATATAAACCCCAAAAGAAGAAAAAATATTATACACATTTTACCCAGAGGTATCTGTTACATAAGAAGTTGATGTCAAACCCGAAAAAAGACAGCCTTGTGCAATATTCATCAGAATGTAAACTTGAGGATTGCCCATTGGCAGCATTTAACCTCCTCATTTGCCCTATCTTCTGAAGGACTTACGCCTCATTCTCACACAACTGATTCCTGTGGATCTTCCACCTCAGTGAAATACTAGCATCATGCTCAACAGTCTGAACTCCTTCATTCAACAGTTGTGTTGTAGAGCATATATATACAATACATCTAGAGAGGCCATGGTAAAAGATAAAATGATTTCTAAAGTGCTCTTTTGAGGCTGACCCATGAGGGAATTTTTAAATTAAATAAATAGCTCAATGTGAAAAGCTCAATCATTAGAAATGGCCAAATCTACATTTAAATTAAATTGTTTTTATCCGAATATAATTAATCCAATGAGTTGGGAAATCTAAAAAGAAGTCCTACTCCAAGGGCTCATGGTGATAAGGAAGTGACCCAGGGTTCTGGAAGAATAGGTTAATAGAGCACAAACTCCTTCAAACTGGAGAGTCTTTGGATATGGGATGGCGAAAGACTATGTGTCTATTGTCCAAAGACCAATTTAGCCAAGTACAGAGAAACTCATCACTAGCAACTTGGCTACCAGGCCTTGTTAAGATGAACAAATGGCACATGAAATGAACAGAAATACAAAATGGTTCTCAATCTTCCATGCTTCCCTTCTGTTGCTATAATGATGGTGATGGAGTGGCAGAATGGGGAACAAGAGGTGCTAAAGATTCGTGGAGTTCATGGAACATCTGCAAACATTAATATAATTCTTGTCACTCAACATGATATCCTTGTTTAATATTATTCAAAGAAGAGAACTACATTCACATTGATGTTCTAACAATAAGTGAAATCGAAAGATAGAGAAGTTCCAAGTATATGGAAGACTGACTTGGGGTTTGACAGCATGGTGAATAGAGGAGTTTCCAGAGACAGCAAGAAATAACATTCTGTTGGTTATTTCAGCTCTTTTACCTTTCAATACTCAGGGTAAGCATAAGTAAACAAGTTACCATGATGATAACTGCATTGCAGAAAATGAAACAGAGAAATTCTAGGAAGAACTTAACAAGATACTTTAAACTAAGTTACTCTGTACATTGATACTCAGTGTCTTTAATGCAAAAGTGAGCATTGGGGAAGACGGCAAAAAGAAAAGTTATGTGTGTGGATATACTTCCTGGGTTGAAGCAGAAACAGTACTAAGGAGACATGGATTAAACACTCTAGGCAACGTCACTGGTTAGAAGGGAATGAGGCATTGAAATGACCTTTGGAATTACAGCATTTTGTGGCCAAGATAAGTTATAACTAGAGGAGGCAGCATGACTTTGGAGACAGAGTACTGGACTTAGAGTCATGACGACTTAGATTCAAATGCTTCCTTAGACACTCACTGGCTAAGTCATTTAACCTTTAGTTCTTCAGCTCTGAAATGAGAGTATTGGACAAGATGGCCTCTAAGATCACTTCCAAATCTAAATCTATGATATTATTAAAATTGATAAAGATAGAGCTTGGACCTGTGATTTCATTAGTACAGGAAACTTTAAGGTAAAGAAACTTCCTCTATGAGTACAAGCTGGCACCTTAGAGAGTTACTTAGCCACTGAGGAATTAAGTGCTTTGCTTAGACAGTTTGGATCGAAGGCAGTATTTGAACCTAGGTCATCCTGGTTTCAAGGTTAGCTCTCTGACCAGTGTGTTACATTGCCCCACCAACTAAAGAAAGATGAACAGCAAAATGAGTGACTGGAATACGGGATCATGTGGGGTGAGACTGCAGTGAGAGAATTCACTCCACTGACCACTCAATATTTGAAGTGGGAGGGAGAACTTACTTCAGTCCCTTGGTGCCTGCAAGGCATCCATACCTGTGCCACTGGGAGAGAAAAGTATGGGTGGGTTGGGAGGCAAGGGATATTATGCTGAGGGCACAGGGAAAGTTTTGTGGAATACAGATGGGAACCACAACTTCAGGAGTTAGAGGAAATAGGGTCTGTTATGCGTCTCTAAATGGTTTCTGCTCTGGGCTAGCTAAAAAGAGCACAAGGACCTCAGGGTTCAGAGTGGGAGTGAACAGTAAAACTGGACTCAGCAGGAATTGAGTCTAGGAGTTTGTCCACATCTCAGGATAGTGCATAATTGGCCATATGACGGGCCAGCTGCAGTATGTCTAGTTTAACATTATGCTGGGGATAAAAGTGGTTTGAGACCAAGAAATGAAAGAGGCCAAAGGCTTGTAGACTACTGAGAAGCCATACGCTGCACAACATGAAAAATTTCTTTAAGAAGAGTCAAAAAGCAATGGCCAGTCCTGAATGACATCATCTTAAAAAAGAAATTGACTATATCTTAGCAGACAGGAAAAAAAAAATTTAAAGACTCGGAAGTCATTTGGAATTCATTCTTTGTATGCTGTCAAATGATTGGTTAGAGTAAAGGTCAAACTAAATGCAGTGTGTGATAATAGAAGCTTTAACCTATACTTTGTTTAAAATTTTTACTGCTTTTTTCCCCCCATCTCCTACATTTCCCAATGTATCCCCTTTCCCTTCCCCTCACAGAGAACCATCTCTTATAATAAAGAATTTTTTAAAAAAGGAAAAAGTCTATATGCAGAGCTCCTAACCCACTATCTCACATTACTGCAAAGAAGTGAGGGGATAGCTTCTTTTGGGGACCAAGCTTGGTCATTATAATTTCTCAGCCTTCTGTTAGGAATGTTTTGTGATTACATTGCTGCAGACATTGTGAATATTATTTTCCTGGTTTTGTTAAAACGTCACTTCAAGGGTTCCCACGTTTACCTGTATTCATTACATTAAATGTCTCTTACAGCACAGTAATATTCCATTAGATTCATGTACTCAACTTGTTTAATTATTCCCTTATTAATGGGTATCTTTGCTTTCAGTTCATCACGCTATAAATATTTCGGCTTAAATGGGACCTCTCTTTTTGTCACTGATCCCTTTGAGGTATATGCCTATTGGAGGTATCTCTGGGTCAGTGGCTGTAAACATTTGTTCCCACATAATTTCAAATTAGTTTCCAGGTTGTTGGACCAATTTACAACAGTGGGTTAGTGTGCCCATATTACTCCAACCCCTCCAACACTAACTATTCCCATTTGTAATCTTGGTCAATTTGAGAAGTATCAGGCACAACCTCTCTTATTCTGATTTACATTTTTTTTACTATTAGTGATTTGGAGCATTTTTTCTTATAGCTGTTAATAATTTGTATTACTTTTTTTTTTTTTGGTGAGGCAGTTGGGGGTAAGTGACTTGTCCAGAGTCACACAGCAAGTAAGTGTTATGTGTCTGAGGCTGGATTTGAACTCAGGTCCTCCTGACTCCAGGGCTGGTACTTTATCCACTGTGCCACCTAGTTATTCCAATAATTTGTATTACTTCTTTTAAGAACTGTTCATTTGCTTGACCATTTATCTATTGGAGAATGGCATTAGGCCACATATATTTATTTGAGATATCTATCTTGGAAAAGAGATCCCTATCAGAGATATTTGATATGAATATTTTTCTCAGATTATATTGTTTTTAAACAAGTTCTTAATGCTTAAAAGTGGGAAATAGGAAAAAAAAGTAAGAACATTTATCTACCACTAATTTTTAGAGAGTTTAAACAATGTAAACCATTCCCCTCAACGAAGAGGTGGAATGAACCCAGAAACCACTTTCACTAGCAAGCATATCCTCTCTTTCCAAGTGTGGAGAGACTGCAGCTATGAGAAACCTAAGTTGATAGTATAAGCTTATTTTCAAAATATTTTGGAGGACTATGGAAGACTGTGAG